GCATTTTTAACAATTGCGATATCGGAGTTGGGAATCTAAACCATTTTGAATCCACTTGAACCCACACAAAAAATATCACCCAAATCTTTCACATACACGCACAGAAAATTATATATATATAAAGATACATGCTGTATCGGGTGAAATAATACTTTCCATTCTGTATTATTTTTTGTCTGATTTTGATAAAAAATTAGATTTCAATTTTAAAAACGGCGGAAATATCGGAAAATTCCCCTCTCTTTTTTTTTTTCTTGCTGCGCATTAGCAGAATAAACACCACAGGGGTAAAACAATTATGCGTTTTAAGTTTTTAAATTAATATATTTTAACTAATTGCGATATTGGACTGAATTGTGAATCTAAACCATTCTCGAATCCATGAACCCACACAAAAATTTCATCAAAATCGGTCCAGCCTTTTTAGGGAGGAGTTTAGTCACATACGCACAGAAGATTTAGGGTATATAACGATATATAGGAAGAGAGTGAGCTAATAGTAGGAATTGTGAAAAGAGCATGATTTGTCTGCATTATTGTAACAATGCACCCCCCGGTTTGTGAAAATCGGTTTTTACGACAACTTTTTTTTGTTTTACAGTTACATTTTACAAAATACAGACGAATCTAGATTGGCTTTTGAAACCAGTAATTAATAATTTAATTTAATTAATGAATTAATATTTGAAAACATATTAAAATCAGTGTCATTCACTACAAGTTTAAAATATGTATTTGAAACTTGTTTGGGAAGAATATAAAGATTTCATTAACGATTGAAAATTTGAACAAGATAAATATACACAGAAAGAGAATGAGCTAATAGTGGGAATTGAAAATAATTTTAAAAAACGAAAAAAAGCCCCTTCGAATCCCTTCGTAAAACGAATAAATTTCCAACATCTTAATTAATTTTAATTGATTTGTTTTTATAATTATAGTTGAGTAATATATATATATAACTATCGTATATTCTGCATTTAGTGATTCTGTTAACACATAATCACTTAACAAAATTAATCACCCAATACGTGTGAAAAAAGAGTACCCCTTTTTAAGGATATCTAAACCCGTATATATCAAAAATAAGCGTTGGTATCTCTGAAGAGTATAAAAGAATTAGAAAACAGATAATACTTCATTTTTTTACTACAACATACTTCCCGCCCTATAAAATAAACCAACTTTAACGCGTGTCATCCAAAAATATAAACAATAATATTTTTTAAAAGAAATCATTTGTGCTATATTTACTCACGTTATAGAGTTTTCAACATTTATCTTAAAGTCGAAGGAAAAATGCCGAAAATAAATTTATTCGAATTTAACAGACACCCAACCACTTTCCACAAATAACATTCTAAGAATTTCTCTTTTAAAATGCATAGACCCTATAATCTTTATTATTTATACGAATATCTTAAACATCAACACTTTTACACGTATATAGTAAAAAAATTTGTATCTAATTATTCGTTGTGTGAAAAAATTAGGCTGAATTTAGAATTTTTTTCAAAGGAAAAAAATGCCCTTTTTATTAAGCACTTAAGCTTATTTTTATGCAAACCATGATAAATAGAATAAAAAGTAAAAATTTATTAACTTAAATATTTTGAGAATTTTTGTTTCCATTCAAAAGACATGTTATAAAAAAAAAATTATTTTTTTCTAAGAGATTTATTTACAAGCAAAACTGAAGGTACGGAATATTCATTTTAAAACTATACTTAAAGAAAGAACATAAAAAAAAATTAGCATACCTATAAAATGTTTTGAAAATTATGTTTACCTGAAGAATATGTAATTAAAAAAATAAAAAAAAACTAATAAAAAAGTTCATGCAAAAAGAAAAATTACTTGTAAAAGTTAAAAGAAGGTATTCTTACTTAACTTAATTCTGAAAATCAGGAAGTCAACCGATGAAATATTTTATACAAAATAAGTTTTTTTTCTTCTTTTCAAAAAACAATTTTTTTATAATTTTATTCTTACACTAGCTCTTATTTTTAAATATGCTGCCTATCTATATTGAAATTAAACTAGCAGAATATGTTGATATAAAAGATTTCTAAGTAAATATGTATTCATTATTATTTCTTATTATTTCTTTTATTATATGTAATAAATATATTGTATTAAATAAAAAATTTTGCTTTATATATACATATCCCATAAAAAAGGAAGTAAAATATCACTTATTCTTTTCATAAATATTAGATTAATTTCGATTAAAATTTTTTTAAGAACTATCTTTTTTATATTTTTATCAATTCCACTATTAGTTCACTCTTCCTATATATATATTTGTTACGTAGATCCGAGGGGTTTGATTTTATGAAAACAATCACAAAGAAAAATATACAGTTCTTCAAGAGCGATGCGGATTTATTAACAAAAAATCAACTTTAAATACAGGATTCAGTAGCAATATTCACAGAGTAAATATCGAAGATCTTCACACCTTCACACAATAAAACACAAAAGCGTTTAAAATCACGAAGTTTAGAACCTACAAAAAAGCCATAACGGTCAAAACAATCCTCACTACTGGTTTAATCAAGATCCTCCGCCACCCCGGCGCATCTTTTAGAAAACTTCCAGTAATAACCCTTTCGGCATTAGTGGGAGATCCACTACTTTCTTGAAGATTCCCAGAGGTTCCGAACTCGCCAAGGGACGCCAATGGTCGCAAGTTCGTCAAATTGGCCACCGCCGCGCCAAAATGATGCCAACTTGGCTCTAGCCAAGTTCTCATTGAATCCCCAATTATAACGTAAGGGCGGCATTTGTGAATGGTACAATTTAACATGAAATAAAATAACAGAGTAATATAAATGAAATTTAAACACTAAATACAAATTATTTACTCTATTTAAACAAAATTCGTAAACAATATATATATAATATATTTTTATAATATATTATATATATATATATATATATATATATATATATATATATATATATGATGTTTCAAGTCAACACCAAGTCAAAGGCCCCAAATGAAGTCTAAGTGACTTTACCATTATGTTCAGAATTTTGGTACCTTTCTAGTTATGTGTTATACTTAAAAGTTAAGGATGACATATGGAGCTAAAAAAAATAATGATCTTGGATTAGAGGTGTTCTGTTTGGATCATCTGTTAGGAGAAATAATTAATTTTTTAATTTAAGTCTTGAAAAATGTAACGAAAATAAAGTTAAGTGGTATATAGAGAATTTAATTTTAGATCCAATTTAATATTATATATTTATCCTTTGTTCCTCAGTGGCACGACAGCCAAGGTGGGCCTTGGCTTTCTAAAGGCTTTTCCAGGCCAGTTTTCCTGCTGTGTTCTCTAGTTCCTAGTTCTCAAAACTAGGAGATCTTTTTATAGGCAATCTAGATTTGACCTACCTTACCTTCGTGGGCCAATTGGTTGAGCATTGAAGACTATTTTATTGATGCATTCTTCTTTAATTCTGATAATGTGACCTGCCCATTTAATTCGCTGTATTTTGATGAAGTTAACTATGTCAGATTCTTTATATGATTGATAGAGCTCTAAATTTGATCTTCTTCGCCATGTTCCATTTCCCTGAATTCCTCCAAAAATGAATCTTAAAATCTTCCTTTCATGGATACTTACCAAGTTCTCATCTGTTCGAGACATGGACCAAAATTCACATGCATAAGTTAATATTGATCTTAACACACACATATATACATGTATCTTGTTCAAATTTTCAATTTTTAATAAACTACTTTCTATTCATCCATTCAAGTTCAAATACCTTTTTTAAATTTGTAGTGGATGACACTTGATGTTCATACAGTTTTTTCAAATATTAATTCATAAATTAAAAAAAATGATTAAATAGCAACAAACCAAAGTGATAGTCAAACAGCCTATATAGAATGGAAAATCGTTCATTTTGTTCCTGTAGTGTAATAGATAACGCGTTGGAATTCTAATCCAAGTGTCGTAGGCTCGAATCCCACCTGGGAAGGCCTAATTTCTGAGCATGTGATTTCCTTCTTTACTATATACTATTTTATTAGAATAATTAAATTTAATTAATGAATAAACAGTAACAAACAAAAAAATAGTCCAACACCCTATATAGAAAAAAAAATGGAAAATTGCAAGGAAAGCATCGCTTTCTATTTTGCCACTGAATATTGTGATTCTGTTATACGTATATACATATTTATATTAATTGTAACTATTGAATAAAAAATATCTAAAATAGAAATTTTTTCCTGTTGATCTAGGTAGGAATTGATTAAATTTTTTTTAATATTATTATTATTATTATTATTTCATCTCACTTTTGCGAAACTCTTTCTCTCTTTTCTTCATTTAGTTATCATATCTCTCTGCGACGAATTTCAATAGAAACCATTCAATGTACACGAATCTCTCTATCGGAAGTCGGTTCATAATTCTCAAGAATTCTTATCGATCCTATTCTTTGCAGCAGAATGGTTGCAATATATGAAGCATGTTGATAGGAATCTCATTCGAGTATTTTTCCTATTTCTAGAAATACCTTTGGCATCTTCTTTGTTATCTGTAAAATATCTTCCTGAATACGCTTAGAAACGAAAAATTTCTCAAAAAAGCTTTTTTAACGAAGGGGAAAGGGGGTGAAAGTTTTCTCTTATAAATTAAAAAGTTTTTTCTAAGGGGTAATAGGAAGAATTCTAAATAAAAAAAAAAGTTTTACTATGTTTCTTTTATTTAAAAGATTTATATCTATTATATTTTTGTAATAATTAATAAAATTTGTTAATTCTTGTGTTTTTTTTTAAAAAAACTTTTGCTTTTTGGGGGAATAAAAGAAAAATTTAAATTTTTAAAAAAGAAAAAATTTTGCTTTTTTTTAAAAAAATATTCAAAAGATGGTTTTAATATTACTTCTTCTTTACTAATACTTTTTTGTTTTTTTATAAAAAAATTCTCAACTATGCAACCCTAAAAAATCGTATTGAATTTCCCACATTTTTAAAATTTTGTTTTAAAAAAAAAAAAAGATATTGCTAATGATAATGTTAAAGGTCATGGACTTTTTCAGATTTGGAATTTTTTAATTAAGTATTTGTTTTAAGACAATAATTTTTTCCAAAATATTTTTTCGTCTAGAAAATTTTTTGGCAAAAACGGGGAAAATTTCCCCGTTTCATTCCAATTTATAAAAAAATTTAAAGCCGGAAATTTTTCCCCAAAAAGCTTTTTTTGAGGAAACTTAAACTAATTTTAAAAGTCCTTTTTAAAAATAAGTTTTGTGAAAATTTACTTTAAAAAATTTAAATTATAATAGTTTGGAAAACCAATTTTAAATTTGGTCACCCATTTTTAAATATAGGTTAAAAAAAATTTTTAAATATCAACCCCTTTTTTAACCCAATTTCCTCTTTTTTTTTTTGCTAAATGTTTTTCCTTTTTTCGAAAAAGTAAATTTTTTTGCGGTGTGTATAGGAAAACTGTTAAAATAAGCCCAAAAATATTAAAAGTAGAAAGGTAGTTTCATTTAATGTTTCGCATGTATCATTGAATTTGATGGAATTTTTTTGTCATTAATTTTTTGAATGTAATAAATAAATAAATTTTGTTTTTAAAAATATAAACAGAAATATTTTTTAATTCATTTTTAAAAAATTTTTAAAAAAAAGGGAAAGGCAAATTTTTAAAAAAATCAATTGAAACTTTTGTTTTAAAAAATTTTTTTACCTTAAACCCTTTTTTTAATTATTATTTTTCTTTTTTTATTTTTAAAATCAAGATTTATAATTTTTCCCATTTTTCTAATACAAAAAGTTTTAAAAAGGTAAATCGAAAATGATGTTTATTTTTTTGTTTTTTTAAAAAAAACCCTAATGTTTTTTTCTTTAAATTAAATGGGGGAAAAAATAATCTATTTTGAAAGAAAATTTTTTTTGGGTTTGAAAAAAAAGTAGGCTGATCAAAAAAATTTAAAATTTAAAACTTAGTAAAGGTTTTTTATCAATAATTTTTAAAAAGTAAGCATCAGTTAATTAATTCTATTATTACTGGAAATAATGGGCAAAAAACTGTACTTTTAAGGATGAACTTTAATTAAATAACATAAAAGCTACGCTAATGCATTAGAAAAACAAGTAATAAAAAAAATTTTTTTTTAACGTCAATCCCAACTTTTAGAAAAACATTTGGCGCAATCTTTGTAGCGGCAAAACAACACAATACAAAAAATAACGTGGAAAAAATTTAAAAATGAAAAATAAAAATTTAAATTTAATAAATTAATATTTGAAAAAAAAACTGTTTTAAAAATGGGGGTGCCGTCCGTTTACAAGTTTAAAAAAAATTTTATTTGAATTTGGGAATAGATGAATAGAAAATTATTTTATGAATTTTTAAAAATTTGGGTTTTATATTATATATGCATTTTTAATATATATATATTGTATATATAAATATATATATATATATATATAAATATATATATATAAAAAAGGGGGAAAGTGAACTTGGGGGGGTTAAATTTATTTCTGCTTTATATCCAGTTCTCTTTAAATTTAAATTTAAAGAAAATTTTTCTCATTATAACTGGGTAATTATGAGTCTGCGAATTGATTTAAAAAAAGATATACCATTTTAAGGGTTTATTCAAACAAAATTAAAAGGGGCAAAGGAAAATTTTGCAATTCTTTTTGGGTTTTTTGATTTAAAGTTAAATTATAAATTTGTTTTTAAATAAAAAAAAAACCAAAGCTGCCGGGTTTTTTTAAGGTTTTTGGGAAAAATCAAGAAAAAATCATAAATTTTTCCCAAAAATACTAAAATCCCAAAATGCCTCCAAATGTAAAAAACCGTTTTGTGGCCAAATCAAAAAAATAAAAAATCCCCGAGAAAACCCTTTTGAAATAATCGAACACAATACCCCTTTCCGTATTTTTTAAAAGGGAAAGGAAAAATATACAACTGATGTGATGGACAATCTGGGGGAAATTATCCCAAAAAAGTTACTCAGCACATATTCACATTTTTTTATTTTTTTTAAACACCGGCCTTCTTAAAACCCCTTTTTTAAAGGTTTTTTGACGCTTACTTTAGTATTTTTAGTTACTAAAATTCCGGATAATTTTTTAAATTTGGAAAATTTTAAAAAAATTTTTTTAAAAATTATTCCTAGTTTTTACAAACGTTTCATAAACATTTTTTTAAAAAAGGTTTTTAAAAAACTCAAAACATCATGCAATTTAGCACATTTTAAAAAGGGGGTACTGTAAATTTCTCTTTTTGTGGCGGGGGTTATCTTCATAAGCCAGTAAAAACTTTCGAAAAACACTGACCCTTTCGTCTAATGCAAAAGGTTCCCAAATTTTTTTTTTTTTTGTCTCATAGCCCCTTTCCCCATTTTTTTGGTTTTGGGGTGGACTCGCTTTTAAATAATTTTGGGAATTTTTGAAAATTAATCAAAAAATTTTTTTTGACAAAGGGGACCTCTACTTTGGAAAAAATGAATTTCTAATTGTAAAGAAATTAAGTGTTTTAAATTGTGTTTTAAAGACTTCCGGGGTTTATAATTTAAATATTGTTTTTAAAAATTTTAAAAAACCCTGTTTAAATTTAAATTTAAAATTTAAAAATTATTTAATACCAAAAATAAATGTTCAAAAAAAACCTTTAACAACAAACAAATAAAATTTTTAAAGGAAGGGATAAAGGGGGGTTCAAATTTTCAATGTTTGGTTTTTGGGGTCTTGTCGGGGTTTAACCTTTTTCTCCTCTGTTAGTAGTTTTTTTTTCTTCCTTTTTTTTGTTTTTGTTTTGGAGATTGCCCAACCCGCTGAAACTCTTTTTCACTAGGAAAAGCAATTAAAAACTTCCTCACGATATTTTTTTAATTTGGGACAAAAACCCGTTTTTCCTTTTTAAAGCCAAAATTTTTTGACATCCCTTCCTTTTAAAATATTTTTGTTTTTTTGATCCCGTTTTCCCCTTGGGTTTTGACATTTTTTCCCAAAGTGACCATTTTGAAATTCAATCTTACTGTGATATTACCATAAATCCCCAAAACAAATTTCAAACCTAGTTACAAAAACTGAATAAAAAATTTAAATTTAAAAAAATTTTAACGTAAGGGTTTAAAAAAAAACGAAAACGGGGGTGAAACAATTGAAAAATTTGGGGCCCTTCCCGTAATTTACTTCTTTTGGGTTAAGTCTGGGAAAAAGGGAAAGCTAAATAGTTCTTGTTTAAATAAAATTCATGCTGTCCCTCACGCCATAACAAAATAAATCGTTTGTTCGTCTATCAACCTATTCATTTTGGGGAAGGGAATTTCTTGCGGGGGGAGTTTTCTTCATTTAAACCAGTAACAACCTCTGGACAATCGTGATCACTTTTGTCTAAATGAAAATATATTTTACAGAACATAAAGGGCGCGGGTCCTCCCGGGATTTTTAAAAAAACCACTCCAAATTTAAAACGAAAAAATAAGGGGGACTATTTTTTTTTAGTTCCCCAAAAAAATTTAAAATTTTGAATTAATTTTAAAACGTTTTTGTTTACCAGATAGGGGGTTTTTTTAATAAATTTTTTTGGAACTAACCCCAACCAAATTTTTTTTTTATCTTTTAAACAATTTTTATCCCCAATAAGAGAAAAAATCTTTCTTTCATAATTTTATACGAAAAGAAAATTTCGAGGTTTTTAAAATTCAAACATTCTTTTTAATAGAAACCATATAAACTTCCGGGAAAGGAATTTAAATTTTTAGGAAAGGGAAAAGAAAAAAATACGGGTTTTCTCCCAAAAACTTATAGGAAAAGTTGTGCATTTTCAAAAACATTAAAAAAAGGAAAAAAGGGCATCCACCATGAAAGAAAGATGAAGAAAAAACTTTTTGGTAATTTTGGGAAAAAATGGGAACAAAAAAGGGGTTGAAAAAAAATGGATTTTGGGCTTTTAAAATTTTTCCCTTTTTTTAAAAAAATTAACGGGTAATTTTTTTAAATTTAA